ATAACATAGTGCAAGAAACCACACTTAAAATGATTTATTAATCTATAATCTGGCCCTGTAATCACAGAAGTCTGAAAAGGAATCAAAGTTGTTGGTGTTTTAGTGCCTCCAGTGTTAATTTCAGCTGGAAACTGCAGTGAAGTGTATAGTTTTTGAAGTTTTGCAGTTTGCTATGGTCTTCTTATATCTTGTATAGGTAGGCTAAATGATCAGAAGGTCTTTCTAACCTCAATGTGTCACAAGCCATTTGTCAACCTGTTGTCTGCTGTGTGGGAGTTAGTTTGTTATGCAATGTGTGGTCACTGTGTTCCCTGTGAGTGGATTTGTTCCATAGCCAGGTCCTTCTCACAGGTTGGGGCATTTATTATGGGAGAAAAACCCAACCAAGAGTCTTAGCCAATGTCTTTTTGTTCTTAATTTCTTCCTTTCTTCCTATGTACAGTTGTATATGTTCAACCGCTCCACCCCCACCCTGTCACTGACTCATGTTCTTGGTATTGTCTTACTTCAGCGTCAATTCCTGGCTTTTCTGTTAGCTGCATTACCCTCCGTGTTCAGGCAGCCAAAGCTTTTACAGGACTCTCCACAGAGGGCACACATTAGTTTCCCTGTCTCTCACTGCTATATATCAGAAAGCTGAGCAGGAAAGTGAGGTTGTTCTCCAGCCACACTAGGTTCTTGGCTACTGCAGTTTTCAACATCATAATAATAAACGTTTTTTGAGCAGCAAATCAGAATATTCGAATGATTTCTGAAGGATCATGTGACTGGAGTAATGATGCTAAAGCTCTGCTTTGAAATCACAGGAATAAATTATATTTTCAAATAGAAAACTAGCAAATAGTAAAAATATTTCAAAATGCTGTATTTTGGATCAAATAAATGCAGGCTTGGTGAGCAGAAGAGAATTCTTTAAAAAATATTAAATATCTTACTGTTCAAAAACTTTTGATTGGTATGTTAGCCTATAGTTTGAAGTAAAAAATATTAATATTAATATTAATAAGGAGAGTCTGAGATTTATTTGACAGTGATTTCACATTTCTTGTTTGTATGAAGGCTAAATACCAATAAAAGGTGAACACTTATTTATTTGCGCCATTTTTTTGCTAAAATATTATATAGTTTTATAGGAGTAGGTTTCATAGAGTTGGCAAATTAATTTTTCATAAGTTTGTAGGTACAGACATCTGTTGTGGCCATTCTTGGCCGTTTTTATGAGGCTTTTTTAATAGTGTTCATATCGATATCGGAATTATATCGTATCGACCGAAATTAAGAAATATATTGTGATATAAATTTTGGCCATATCGTCCAGCCCTACTCTGTCGTGTCCATCAGCTCGTTGTCTGTGTCCTCTCTGCTCTGCGATGATTTTTCGCTCTGAAAGAAAATGAATGTGCGGCGCGAGAGTGCGTACATGAGAGGCTGGAAATGGACGAGATGAACCGCTATGCGGAACACCAGACGTGTCGCATCCTTGAGTTCGAGGCTAAAATAAACACTTCTTTCAGTATGATTAAACAAAGAAAATGAAATAGTAGCATATTAATTACTGGGGTGGCACCCAGGGTGGTCGATAAGATGTCGACCACCCTGGACACCCCTCTGGCTCCGCCACTGCCCTTAAGGTGGTGTCACATTTACCACTGTTTGGCAAAATCCAGTAATTTCAGTAGGAATCCACTAAATCACAAATTTCGCATCAAGGCAAAATATTTCCCCAGGCGGATATCTCAACAGGCTCAAATTGGTCACACAAAGGGCTGGGTATTGTTAAAAAATTTTCAATAATGATACCTTGATTCGAGACCGGTTTTTGAATGATTACCAATTTTGTAACATTTATTTTTAACAAAATTACATTACACACTACCTCAAACTTTGGTTTTATTTACATTTTTTCATCTTCTGGGGCACTGCACAAAGGAGCAAAATTTAACCAAAACAGTAAATCAGTGCAAATAGGCTAGTTCATTTCACTTCTGCATTCAGTTCTGTACATAAAAAAACCCAGGAAAACATTCCCACGAATAAAACATGAAGCTAATAAACACATGATTATGACCGTATCATTTGTATGTGATTAGGATAGTATAAATTAGGGATGCACCGAAATGAAAATTCTTGGCCGAAATGGAACAGAATGAAGCACTGGGCAATACCGAACACGGTTTTTCACGGTTTTTCCCCATGTATTTTGCCTTTATTTTATTTTTTTTCACCATTGCATAAATTAAATAGCATAAACAAAACAACAATGTAAAAATATTTACTTAACACTGAACATGTTTAACATTCTAGCAGACAAACCACAATTTAATTTAAAATGAATAAGTTGGTAATATAATATTTTTGGCCATTTTTGAGACCCCTTCTTGAATCAGGCATGTATTTTTACTGTACAAATAAATGCAGCTTTTCTGAGCGGAAGAGAATTTTTAAAACATTATAAAATATTACAGATCCTAATTTGAACACTATGTGAGAATTTTATATGTACTATGAATTAACATTTATGAATGTTGATCGAGTTCTTGCTTTTTCTCAGTTTTTATTTCAGTGCTTCTTTTTGTTGACAACAGCTGATTTATAAATTATGTTTGTCTGGAGGCGAACCATAACTCTTGAACCTAGGCCCTCTCCCCCTACCCTCGTCAGGGGAAAGAACAAACTACCAGCCTAGCTTACTGTGTCCTCTTCTAAAAGTCATCTGCACCGCGCTGTACCACATCTTTAATATTCGCACACATTGTTTTCTATGAATGCACGCACACCGGCGGCGCCACCACTGACTGTCCGCGGATTCCAGCTGCGACTCCGGGCGCTGTTCATAGTCCTACCACACCACAAAGCGCCTCAGTGTCACTCACATCATTTTCCATTAAAATACATTATATTTGTCCCAAATTATTGTTAATGTACATAATGACTTCATCCTAGGTTGGAATAATTAAGAATCTACCATGTAAACAGAGATTTTTGATTACCTTAATCAGGCTAAAGTCAAATTCTAAGTAAACGAATCGAATGAAGACCGCAAACTGATTGAGGGATTGTTGGTGTCTCTTGCTTTTTTCTAGCATGTGAATGGATTTAAATGAGTAATAATTTGATGTATGGTTCTGATTGGTTGAATTTGAGGAAGGCAGCTGGAATTGCAGTATGCTTGATGTCTTCGACCCTCGTTATTTTAAGACCACCATGACCTTAGTCTGAGTCATCATTCAGCAATAGATTTAACAAATGGCTTATCCAACGTCAGGCTTACCTTGAATGGAACTCTTCCCTGCCAAAACTAGCTTAAACGTTGGACTGATTTCCACACTTTAACAGGCTCCCCTTGTTAGAAGAGCTTTGTGCTGCTTTATAGTTTTACATTTAGTTTGGGAATGTATATTTTTGGAGAGTTCTGGATCTCTAAGATAGCTTGAAGATTTTGTGCTATTAAGAGAGAACAATGTTGGGGTCTGTATGCACAGCTGGAATCGTCCATTTCTTGGTAAGAACCAGTTCTATATTATGTGGTACATAGTCTTTTTATTATACACACATTTTATTTACCCTTCTTTTTTCTCAAAAATGTATTCTGTTTTGATCCAAACAGTCACAATTCATAAGGAATCTCTCTTTATATCACGGTATTTTTCAAAATTATACTGGTTTCACGGTACATGACGGTATTTTTTTTTTCATGCATGACCGGGTGTTAACCACATTTTCTACTGATTGAGAGAGGAAATACTGCAGTATATTAACTTAGAATGCCCTATCAGTCATGATGAGTGAATATTGTCAAAAAATATCACACTAAATAGTGACTAAATACGACCCCTTTTAATACATGTTAACCAGGAGTCACTCTCATTCATAATCGCGGCATCGTCTGATAAAATCAACATGCATCTACACTAAAGAGCGGCTATGCGGTTGTTTTGGCTATATTACTTTTTTGTCTCATGCAGCGCACTGTCTGCGTCTGAGTAACAAACTAAAAAATAAAAAAAGTGCCAGTATACCGCCCAGCAGCACTACATAGAAACCTAAAATAAAATAGTGTATGCATGCATAATAACCTAGAATCAGATGTGCAAATGTCAAAATGTTTCCATATACTGAGTATCATAATGGCTGTCATGAGACGCTGTGCTTGTGAATTTGCGTAGTTTTAACATGATCGCTATTAGAACTTACTTTTCAGTTGACTCTCATGAAAATATTTTATTGAATCGAAAAATCTACAACTGCGCAAGTTTTTTCCATTTTGCATAAACTCTTTATTAAACTTCATAGGCTTCCCACAGTAAAAAGGGGGTGCAGTTATTCTGATTAAAATACATGTTTTGTTACATTAAATATACCAATTTTTTTACGTTTAAATGTAGGGTTAAAAAATTTAATTTTTATGAGAATAGTACTAACTCTAAATATGTTTAAATTTTAACCCAATTTTCACGTAGCATATATAGCACACAGCATACAGCGGGTAAAATAAGTGTTGAACACGTCACCATTAGTCTTAGTAAATATATTTCTAAAGGTGCTGTTGACATGAAATTTTCAACAGATATTGGTAACAACCCAATTAATCCATACATGCAAAGAAAACAAAACAAATAGAAATTAAGAAATCAAGTCATAAAACTGCAAATGGATCCAAACCCTTCTGGTGTGTCGCAACAGATATATTGACCGAAAAATTTGAGTGCCTGTTTACAAAAAAGTCTCACCGTTAAACACTTCAGCATAAATCAAACATAAAGCAGCCTTACAAATAAATAAAATAATGCAAACAAGTCACTAGACAGCATTACTTGCATGGATAAATTAAACAGAATAGACTCCGCACTGACGATAATGAAATTATTGTAAGTAAGCCATATTGTTGATGAAAATAAGATAAAAATAAAAGTTATTATTAATAATATATCAATGATTTTGAAAAAGAAGTATCTTGAATTAATACCATTGTTTCAAATAGCAGCATTTTTGTTTAAGCTATGTGCGCTGTTGCTGAAGAGCTGAATGAACACCGGTAAACTGAAGCACTTTGTTAGTGGGTTAATTATGCCATATGAGAATCAGATATTTATACAACATAAGCATAATATTATAACTTATATATGCATAAAAAGACATAATTGCACGTGATCTTGAACTAATTTACGCACTAGTCAGATGTGTAACTCGATGTGCTCTTCTTCCCGTAACAACGTGCTGAAACACAGCAATAAACCCAAAGAATTCACAACTTTTAATACTGTAATATTCTCTTTATAATGTTATGCATATGACATTCCCAGTTATAGTAATTAATGTTTAATTATTTAATAATGCATTATTTATCAGCTTTAATATATTGGCAAAATGTTCTTATCGGTTCGATAACGATAACATTAAAATTAACATTTATCGGCCGATACCGAAATGTTGGCTGATATATTATGCATCCCTAATGGTGAGGAAGTAATGACACAATTTTCATTTTTGGGTGAACTGTTCCATTAATGTAATTCTGCAACACACAGGCTTTTTATGTGTTCATGAGATTTATTGTAGCAGCGTTGCTTGACATTGTTTGACCACTTGGGATTTTTTCTGTCAGTGACATGATGTTCATTTTTGATTTCTGATGCTTGGCATTATTTCATTTAAACAAGTTAAGTCGATTCACGTTTATTTATGTAATAGTGCTTTATACAATACATATTGTTTCAAAACAGCTTTACAGTAATAAACAGGACAATAACAGTATTAATATTGCAAAATTCATCTATTTTGAAACACTTCATTTTCAGCTGAAAAGCAGTTCTGCAGAAGACAATAGTGACGTTATTTTGCTCAATTCTGATTCAGTGTGGAGTCAGTTCAGTTCAATAATCGTGTTACTGTCAGCATGGCTAAGGTGATTAATTATGAAACAACTTCAAATGCTGGTCTACAGAAGACATTGCGTTCATTATCAAGCTCTCTTCAGTTCAAGCTTTTGAGTTCTCATCCAATAGTGTCAGTACAGTGAGATTGACAATATTTTCTGAATAAGTGTCTTTTAAGCCACAACTGACCAAGCCAAACGCAGATAATTCCACATTTTAATAAAAAAAAATAACTTTGCCCAAATCAAAGTCATGTGGTGCATTCAGGGAGAGTCTGGCTTATGTGGACAACATGCTTAAAAAGTCCAACAAGAAGGTAGAGGAACTGCACCAGGAACTTCAGGAACTGAACGCACACATAGTGGTGAAGGACCCAGAGGAGGTTGTAGGTATGGCTGATTTCACTCCTCCCGTCTCTTTAACTTTTGTATTTATTGTAGCTTTTGTTTTTAATCACTGACAAAATTGTACTGAAAAAAACATTGTTCTACCAAATGTTATTTATTTATTTTTTTAATAGATTAAAAATTATATCTTGATGTTTTTCAGCCAAATGTTTATTTGCACTGAAATTGCTTAAAAATGAACTTGTTCACATCCAACTACAAGGAGGTGACAAGTAAATTGCTGTGACTGGAAACATGTAAGTCGAAGTATTATAATACGTTGTTGAAATGGTGGGTCAGGAAAAGCTTTGGGGTCTGTCTTCCCGAGTCAGCGAGTGCGCTCTGACCGTGAGCATCACGGACCAAATGTGTGACTCAGAAGGGAGCTAACTGTGGGTATAATACTGGTATATTTATTTATATGTTATAATAAATTATGTTTGCCTAGAGATAGGGGAGGTTTAGCATTACCGAATAGCATTTGAAGTGTCTAAGCTCACTAGACACTGGGAGGAAGAAGATTTAGATTTAGATTGGGTATTAATAGAACGACAACTTACTTATCCTTTTCGGCCAATAGAGGCTTTTTCACAAAACCCAGAGGGGAACTTACAGCATCATATGATCAACCCAATATTGCTTCATTCTAAAGAGGTTTGGAAAATTGTCCACATGAGATGTCAGCATTACTCATCAGTATGGAATAATCCTTATGTTAAGGTAGGGAAAAAGCCCCTGTTTTGGGGACAATGGTTTAGAAATGGAATACGAACTCTAAAGGATTTATTTAGTGATGATAAGCTTTTATCTTATACTAATTTAAAAGAAAAATTTCATTTAGAAGGCCGGGATCACTTCTGGAAATATTTACAGATTAGAAACCGTTTGGTGGCAAAGGTTTCTATGGGACAAGAAAAGAATGTTTTAGAAAAATTTTGCGAACTACCAAGACCCCTTCAAAAATCATCGAAATTTTATCAACTCAAGTTTAAGGATAAGAACTGTGAAAACTTGAGATTGATTTGGCAAAGAGACATTAATAGTGACATAGATAAGGACACTTGGAACAGAATTTTGTCCTACAGTGGAAGGTACATAAAGGAAGCAAGAGGTAAATGTATCCAGTATAAGGTATTATATAGGTATTATTATACACCAATGCGACTTTTTAGAATGGGTTGTCTGATTGATAATAAATGCTGGAAATGTAAACAAGAAACTGGCACATACATTCATGCTCTCTGGCAATGTTCAAAGATTCAACCTTTTTGGGAAATTGTGTTGAAATATCTTGGAAGATGTTTGGGATTTAACCTTCCATTTTCATCAAGGATTTGTCTTTTAGGAGATAAATAGGAGATCCCTCAGATTAAAAATAACGAGTTTTCCCTTGTTACTGTCGGTGTAATCACGGCAGTATGACTGATACTTAGATTTTGGAAAGATAATCAATGTCCTTCACTTAAAATGTGGATTGAATATATGATAGAGAATGTATCATATGAAAAATTGTTAGCTAAGGTGAGTGTAAATCACATGGATGTTGACTTGTGGGAGAATTTTATTCAGATTGTTACTTCAGGCATGGATCTAGTATCAGTCACCCTTTGAAGTGTGACTTGATTACCCTGTTGTGCATTTAAGTGTAATTTCTATAATAATAATTATTATTATTATTATTTATGATAATTACTTTTGTTTGTTTTGTTTTGTATACAGTGTATTTATTTATTTTTTGAAATGTACAACATTTTTTTTGTACTGGTACGTTTTATGTATAAAGAAAACCAATTTAAAAACTTCATTTTCAAAAAAAAAAATTAAACTTGTTTATTGATTTTAGTCATTTAATGACAAACCCTAATTTCTAAGATTAAAAATGCTATAAAAATAAGTTTTTCACTAAATGAACATCAAAAGGAACAATATTTAATCATAATCTTATAGATGCACCAATATACTAATTCATAGTAATAAACAGCAATATTTACCAATGTTTATAACACTTGGGTAGCATTGGGGAACAAGCGAAAACAAATGTTTGAATCAGATTTAAATAAAGATAAGATCAATTAGATTAGATAAATTGAACCAATACATGGAAATGAATCACTTACCAACTCTTGCGATTGTTTGCTGCTATGGCCAAATAAAAAAATTGAGAATGTCTATCTCAAGGCTTTCAATATAAAAATAAGTTTTTCACTAAATGAACATCAAAAGGAACAATATTTAATCATAATCTTATAGATGCACCAATATACTAATTCATAGTAATAAACAGCAATATTTACCAATGTTTATAACACTTGGGTAGCATTGGGGAACAAGCGAAAACAAATGTTTGAATCAGATTTAAATAAAGATAAGATAAATTAGATTAGATAAATTGAACCAATACATGGAAATGAATCACTTACCAACTCTTGCGATTGTTTGCTGCTGTGGCCAAATAAAAAAATTGAGAATGTCTATCTCAAGGCTTTCACAGTACCGTGGTAATAAACTGGTTTCATGGCAATACGATGTTTTGGACTGAGGTAATACCATAGCTTTCTCTAAAGTATGTTGAGGTACATTGTAAATAACATAAATATTGTTATCAGTATAATGGTATGCATTCAAGTAACATGTTATTACCATCTCATGCTGCTACTGTACCTTGGTACAACCACAGTACTTTTTTTCTGTTCTACTGTGGTTGTACAACCAAGGACTTTGTGTCCAAAACAACAGTTATCCATGGATATTACTGTACCCTGTCATATACTGTTGAAAAAAATCACCACAACAAAGAACAATGATAATGATTTGCCAGGGGTTTAATGGATTATCCAAAATAGAAGGTTTTGCATTTGAGCTTTTGGTTATACAAGAGGCTTGCTGTTGAATTTTGATATTGTTGCTCATTTGAACCATGAGGTAGCTACAGAAGGAAGAACACTGATTATTTATGCAGCTGTCATTATTTCCCTGTGAATTCCCTTTATTATCAATAATATTACAATAGTATAATGTGACTTAGAAACTGTCAAGTTAATCATAAATTAATGCAAAGAGGGAGTATGACAAGAATGAATGAAGTCTTTGCATCCTTGTGTGTGTAAATGTTGCATTATGCTCATGGCGTTGTGGCTGGGTTGTGATTTATATTATAGTGTGACTCTTTGTGAACTTGGATAACATGATGAATGCAAACTCATGATTACAAGGCTGTGATTTCTTTGCTCTGCTAGTGCTTCAGGGCACCTCTGTTGTTTGAAATCATGTCTTTTAGTTTCTCTGAATGCATGTGCATTTGTTAGTGTCTCACCAGGCCAGCTGTTTGCCTTTTCTTAGTTAAAGGGGTCTTATTATGCTCAGGCCAGCTGTATGCCTTTTCTTAGTTAAAGGGGTCCTATTATGCTCTTTTACAAAGTCTTGATTTTGTTTTGGGGGTGTACTAGAACAGGCTCTCATACTAGGTTTTTCGAAAAACACATTATTTTTCACATATTTTACATTATTACAACACCTCTCTTCCCAGTCTGGCATGAATGGCTCGAATAGTTCCTGTATCAAATGAAGGCCCACCTTCTGAAATACGAAATGTGTTGTGATTGGTTAGCTGGGCCAGTGTGTGTTGTGATTGGCACCACTAGGCGCCTGGTTGGGAAATGTCATGCCCCTTATAGCCGCCTGCGAGCTTCAGTGTAAATATTGCGTCAAAATCAAATAAATTTGAGCGTGATGGTAACCACTCTAAGTCCGTCTGCCTTGGGGAAAGCTAGCATTTTACATTATTACAACACCTCTCTTCCCAGTCTGGCATGAATGGCTCGAATAGTTCCTGTATCAAATGAAGGCCCACCTTCTGAAATACGAAATGTGTTGTGATTGGTTAGCTGGGCCAGTGTGTGTTGTGATTGGCACCACTAGGCGCCTGGTTGGGAAATGTCATGCCCCTTATAGCCGCCTGCGAGCTTCAGTGTAAATATTGCGTCAAAATCAAATAAATTTGAGCGTGATTTAAACCCGGGTGATGGTAACCACTCTAAGTCCGTCTGCCTTGGGGAAAGCTAGCGTGTCTCGACATTGGGGAAACCCATGGCAAATGTGAGACTTTTCCTGGTTAGTTCCACAAATGCTTAATTGAATCATTGTGTACTGTGTGTTTAGAAAAGCCACAGTGTTATGTTATTTATTTATGTATGCATTTATTTATTGCTGCGATCCATTTTCAGCTTTTCAGATAGGAACTAGTCCAATTGCAGTAGGGTTGCATGTTTATTGAATGCAAATAATGTCTCTTGGACAGTTGGTTTTCTCTTTCCTTGATTCAGTTATTCACTCACCAAACTTCAGAAAGTTTTAAGTGTTTACAAATAGGAGTCACTCTTCTAGATAAGGTTATAGGATACTCTAAATCTCAGTATAATTAGCTGAGGAATTCCCATTTAAATTTGTTTGTTTTGAATTTGTAATACTGAACACAAAATTCCCATTACTTCAGTTCAAAGTGAATACTCCATGCCTGTTTACTTTGTTTATGCATTCTTCGGAATTAAACCCATGACCTTCATATTGTTAGTGCTGTTCTCTACCAGAAATTCTTTATTTGTGAATATACAGTAGTTCAGTATTCATTAAATTATTGGCCAAATGTCTATCAGGGCAAGATACTATTATAAATACAGTATTAAAGGCCAGCTATCCAGTGCGTTGTGATTGGCCGAATACCTCAAGCGTGTGGCGGAAATGTTACGCCCCTTACCATACTGTGATGCCGTGTCCCGGCGCGACAAGACAAAAACAATAAAACCTATTATAAACAAGGCATTTGTTGCATCCAGTGGGGACATAATTACGGATTCGGTTTCTGATCTTTGCCTGTTTTCCTGGATTCTTCCCTCTCGTCTCGCCCCTGTGATTCTGTCTGCCGATCAGTGACCTACGCTAGCCCTAGGACTATTCTTGTTTTGCCCGCCATATACCTGTTTGCCATTGATCGACCCTGCCTGTGTTTGACCACTTCTCTTGTTAAATAAAGCTTGCACATGGATCCGCACGCCTCTTGTTACAAAAGCTTTTTATTTCAGATAAATGCTGATCTTTCTATTCATCAAAGAATCATGAAAAAAAATGTACTCAACTGTTTTAAATATGGATAATCAGCAAATCAGCATATTAGAATGATTTCTGAAGGATCATGTGACACTGAAGACTGGAGTAATGATGCTGAAAATTTAGCTATGTATGATCACAGGAATAAATTACATTTTAAAATCTATTCAAAATAGAAAGCAATTTTAAATAGTAAAAATATTTCAAAATTTTACTGTTTTTGCTGTACTTTGGATCAAATAAATGCAGCCTTGTTGAGCAAAAGACAATTCATAAAAAAAATTAAAAATCTTACTGTTCAAAAACTTTTGACTGGTAGTGTAGGCTGATTATTCTTATAGATTGAAACAAATGTGCTTCAGCCAGAAAAAAGGGTATGAAAAGTGCTCCGAGTCGCTGCAGAAAACAAAAAAATCAAACAATAACAAAAACTAGAAATGTTGCTGGAGACCAAGGTTATTATAGTTTAGCATTTTTAAATTTGTTTCATTTTAATATAATTTTCAAATTTGCAATAAAATGTTTCGTTTTTATTAGTTTCATTAATAATTTTGTTAGTTTTAGTTTAGTTTTTATTTTGTGAACACATTTCTATTTAGTTTGTATATAGTTTAGTTTTAGTTTTAGTAATTAAAGTTTATTAGATTTAACAGATCACTTCCAGAGCGCAGGCCAAAGAAAGACTTAGGCTAATTTAATCTTAGTGATGCAAACGTCTAGCGACACCAAATTAAAACATGCTGAGATTGATTAGATGGTAAAATACAAATACACACCAAAATGAAGCAGTCATGCCTTTTTAAATCTACATAAGTTGCGCTTACATTATATGTAAAACGCACTAGACTGGAATGATAAATGTGTGTTGTGATATAATTTGAAAATAAATGTAGCTAATTTCTTTAAATTATAGCTAATATATAGTTTATCTTATTTAACTATAATCACCATACCGTAACTGTCATGTCTTGCTCACTTTTTTTTACAGAATTAATTTGGTGCTGGCTGCTGTCGGATAACGGGTCGGGTGTACTGCGGATGCAGGCCAGGTTTACCTAACAGGACCCGTGCAGGACTCTGCTTTAAACTGCTTTGCGTTTCTCCGTCAGATAACCTCATGTGCATGATGTGCCATTTACGGGTATTTCCCTAAACCGACACGCATCAATTTATTTAGATTTTTTTTTTTTTTTTTTTCGGTTTACGAAAATGTTTTTTGACCAATCGTTTTTGTTTTCGTCTTGGTTTTGTTTTTCTTTTTCGAAAATAGTCTTTGCAACTTTAGGGATCTTATCTATTCACGAACAGCTTGTAACACTCCAAAGAGAAAGGAAAACTTGAAATTGCATCATGTGACCCCTTTAATATCAGATACAGATTGAATGTTGTTGCAAGCATGTAAATAGCAAAAATGCATGCACAATCTTTTTTTGTTTTATTTTCAAATCTGAAATGTAGTCTTCTAACCTGTCAAAATAAGGAAAATTTAAAATTATTAAATGGTTGCCTGTTTTTTTTTTTCTTTCTTTTTCTAGGCTTGATTTTGTTTATGGGGTGCAGTCTAACATGTTAATGCTTCGTTTAAAAAAAAAAAACACATTATTTTTCACATAATTTACCTTTATTCTACACCGCTCTGTCCCTTCTCCTATGAACGCTCGGATGATTTCCTGTTTTTATGAAGCCCCTCCCTCAGAAATACGCGATGGGCTTAGATTGGTTAGCTGGCTCAGTGTGTTGTGATTGGCTAAACCGCCTCTAGTGTGCGTCTAATGGTCGGTTAATCAGATCTTGTTTTAAATGTGCTGAAATAAATCCCGGAAAAGATCGATTCTCGGCTTTTGAGAATCGATATCGAATCGATGTCATTTAAAAAAAACGATTAATCAAAAAATTAATTTTTTTTGCCCAGCCCTAATTATATTCATTGCATACATATACATCGTAGACATCCTTAATCTCTAATAACTCCATTCTGCTGTCTGTTGTTCTGTTGTCGGTGTTTCATTGTCTGAATATGGCACTTAACACATGCTGTGTGGTATCTGGGCATTTTAACGAGTACAGGAGCTCAGTATCGGGCCCGATACCGATATCAGTATCAGTGCATCCCTAGCTCAAACAGCAACATTACACACTAACTAACATAAAAAAAGAGTGAAATCGCAATCAACCACCCCTTTAAATCAGTATACAAAAACAGTAAAGGAAGGCTCTATAAACCTGTCCGTGACACTTTTTTTTGCAGTGCAATTGGCTGGTTTTGTGTGCTAATAATTTAACAGGACATGAATGAGAATTTTTATTAAATTATTGTGCAGAATACATGAAACAAAATATGTGAAATATGTATAAATGGTACCGGTGAACATCTCCAGTATTTCAATAAGACAGTAGCAAAAAGAATAAACATTTATACAAGAATATTCTGAATTCTCATATCCTCTCTATGTATGTGTTACTAAGAAATCAGAAATAATCACTTTGCACTCAATTACAAAAAAGGAATACATGGGAATTCCCAACATATGAATCATGCAGGGAGGCGTCTTCTCCTTAGAGGAATTAATCGCATTCCTGTTTGGTCTATTTCTAACAAGGTCAAGTGAAATATTTTAAAACCTGTCTGTCAAATACTTAGGTTTGTGCATTTAAGCCTGGTTTTAATTACAGGCCTTTTTAATAGTCAAACTACAGCAGTATTATCTAGCTTGTCTTTATGCAATTTATATAATTGCAGGGAAATACAAATTTGCATATTTTGTGTGTGGTTAGTTGACACAACCTGTCATTGGACCTTTTTTTTAATAAACAAAATTCAGTGTTCCTTGTCTTGATCTTGATGAAGTGTATTTTAGTTTTTGTAAGTGGTCGTCAAGTTTTTCGCAATTTTCATGTTTTTAATGAATTTGAAATGGTCCTGTGTGGTGTGACAAGTCCACCATTAAACAGTAGTACAAAATGTCCATATAGTTGATATCAGTTAATATTATTAAAAGCAATACAAAAAGTCCACATAGTCCATTGATATCAGGTAATATAAGCTGAATGTCTAATTATCAATATGATACTTAAAACAGTAGATTTAGCATTGCATGTCACAATTCAGCTACCAGTTTTCTGGTGTTACTGGCTATTATTGTTTTGTTAATATTAGTGTTTTGCCTTGGTCCTCTATATACCATGACAGAGCTGTCAGAAACAAGGCTTCCACCTTACCTTTGCAGGTGTATAATTTGTGGTTAGTGTTCTTGTCAGGACATGAGTAGATGATCTCATCATTCTGAACCTCAGCTAATCATAAAACAACCCTGAAGTGCTGTGTGTGTGTGTGTGTGTGTGTGTGTGTGTGTGTGTGTGTTTCAGAGGGAAATTGACTAAATTAACCGTAGGTCAAGTGTTAACTTGATCAAGTTCTAAATTGCATGCATATTTTAGTAGTTTAGGTATTACTTGTTTAGGTAAAGATGAAGCAACTTTAATACTGGCAATACAGTTCGTGAAGTATAAAGAAAATCTGTGGGGCTGTGTGTGTGTGTGTGTGTGTGTGTGTGTGTGTGTGTGTGTGTGTGTGTGTGTGTGTGTGTGTGTGTGTGTGTGTGTGTGTGTGTTTCAGAGGGAAATTGACTAAATTAACCGTAGGTCAAGTGTTAACTTGATCAAGTTCTAAATTGCATGCATATTTTAGTAGTTTAGGTATTACTTGTTTAGGTAAAGATGAAGCAACTTTAATACTGGCAATACAGTTTTGCCCCCTTCTTTTAGTTTTTCTCCTAAGGTGTTTTTGCTCATGTTTGTGTTTGCTCAATCTTGTGCAAGTCTTTCCATGATGGCCTGGTTGTTCTCACAGAGAGTCTTTGAGAAACTGGCTCACTGTCACCTGAGAGAACATTTGCATTTTTCCTGCCTGCACAAGTCCTTCACTGGGTGTCATTATATCATTGTCATTTCTGTTTATTACTCAACTCATCAAATGCTAAAAAAGAAAAGCCATGTTATTTTGTTACACGTTTTAACAAGTTGTGATTTTTCAATGTTCTTAATGTTTCCAATATGCGTTGAATATACCTGTGTTTAGTCACATTTCTCCAACATTCCCAACAATGTTTTGTTTGTTGTTTTAGTGTTTTATTAACTCTTTGATGTTGATTTGTGTTTGTCCAATATCAGAGTACCCGCTAACCCCAGACACCCCCAAGAGTGAAGCACGGACATCCACCAACAATAGCAGACTGGCCGCTCTGAAGAAACAGGCTGACATCGAGCTCAAAGTGAAACAGGGAGCGGAAAATATGATTCAGATGTATTCCAATGGCTCTTCCAAGGTAGTAGTCTGTCTTTAGAGGATCTGTAGTGTGTGGTTTGTATAGACTAATGCATTTGCTTGTGGTACAAACAGTTATTTACATGGATTCTCTCACTTTCTTTTTTTTTTTGTGTTACAAAGTAATATTGCAAAAATAATAAGGGCCATTTCCAAAAACATTCCCACTTTTTGCCGTTAAGTAGTCCTGCCCCAACTCATACCACTGGTTGAACCAATGTTGCAGTGTTGTGCTGTTTAGAATGTTTTGATGGAGCCACTGTTTACCTTTTTCAGTTAAATCAACCTTAAAGTGAAAATTTGTAACCTCTACATATTAAGCTGGAATAGGAAAAGTATTTCAAAAATACACTTCATTTCATATTACACTACATACTGTACTTTTCTTTTACTCCCAGAGAGGATAAGCCGTTTGATCTCTTAAAGATCTTGGGAGACCAGATTCATCCCAAGAAATGAAAACAGATGTTAGCAATTTTTGTCCCCTAAAATTGAGTGAAATCTCCTCTCCTTCATCCAAAAGAGGTAAAGGAAGCCAGACTAGACTCATTTATATACATATGCCAGTGTCATGGTTGTAACCCCCTAGGGTGCTGCTGACATTAAGGAGAACTGGAATAGAACAGTTCAGTTATGTTTCTCCACCCTCCCCCTCAGGAAATCAGGCTTTGGTGCTGTGCATGTAGTGTGTCTGAAAACATGCATGTAGTGTCAGCAGAATCGCTCTCATGGTTTGGCTTTGGTCTAGAGTGTCCGACCCTCCTTCCCTCCCTTTTATCAAGAACGACACTGTTAATTAAAGAGGCTCTGTGGCTAAAATTAGCAACTAGGACTCACAAAGGAGTTCTGTTTAATCAGCACAGTCTCCGGGAGGGGAATATATATGGAGTGATAAACACAGGGAGACAGAACTGAAGGGAGTCTGACTTATTTCCAGATGTATGAATGGTTTAGTACCCTTTAAAAAACTGTTACAAAAAAATACTCAGCACTACGGCACATGACTCGCACTGATAAAGTGATACTCCTACATTTCTGCTGGCCCAGGACTACTCCGTTTAAGAACTTTAAAGCTGCGATTTTGCACCACTTGTGGCACCAAAGGGAATTGCTAACTCTTTGTCTTTAGATGCTGGGCCAAACAGGTATTCCCTTCCCAAACTTGCACCATTGGTTGGACTGTGGGGAGACAGCAGAATCGCTCTCATGGTTTGGCTTTGGTCTAGAGTGTCCGACCCTCCTTCCCTCCCTTTTATCAAGAACGACACTGTTAATTAAAGAGGCTCTGTGGCTAAAATTAGCAACTAGGACTCACGAAGGAGTTCTGTTTAATCAGCACAGTCTCCGGGAGGGGAATATATATGGAGTGATAAACACAGGGAGACAGAACTGAAGGGAGTCTGACTTATTTCCAGATGTATGAATGGTTTAGTACCCTTTAAAAAACTGTTACAAAAACATACTCAGCACTACGGCACATGACTCGCACTGATAAAGTGATACTCCTACATTTCTGCTGGCCCAGGACTACTCCGTTTAAGAACTTTAAAGCTGCGATTTTGCGCCACTTGTGGCACCAAAGGGAATTGCTAACTCTTTGTCTTTAGATGCTGGGCCAAACAGGTATTCCCTTCCCAAACTTGCACCATTGGTTGGACTGTGGGGAGAAAAAAAAAAAACACAATCTGGTATGTGGTGTTTTTTTTTTAAAGTGGTGAGTCCTGCATGCAGGTTCCCAGCTGCTTTAGACATCCGGAGGAAAGGCCTCTAAGGTAACGTCAGCCTCTAATGGCTGCTTACAGGAAGTTTAGTCCGTAGAGATTCCTGACTCAGTCACTAGATTTGAATGTTTGGTGTGACGAGCAAACATCCCTTTACACTTCAAACGAGTTTTGCATGGTTTTGTTTTTAATTTCTGGGTTTCACTTTTAATAACTTTTAAATAATAAGATATATTAAAGGGGTCCTATTATGCTTTTTCAAATTTTCAACTTTAGTTAGTCTGTAATGTTGCTGTTTGAGCATAAAAAAGATCTGCGAAGTTACAAAGCTCAAAGTCCGCTTCAAAAGGAGATATTTTATTCAACAGAAATCACTTTTCAAAAACTACAACGAGTGACTCGTTTGGACTACAACGCATATTTTCCGGGATTTGTGATATCACAAATACCGACGAATGGGACGAGACCTAGCTAAGCTGCACTGAAGAAGGCAACGAGTGTTATCACTATGTCGGAGACACGATGGCTTTCGAACTTAGAGTGGTTACAATCATCCAGGTTTAAATCGCGCTCAAATTGATTTGATTTTGACGCAATATTTACACTGACGCTAGCAGGTGGCTATGGTAAGGGGCATGACATTTCCCGACCAGGTGCCGAGTGCTGCCAATCACAACTCGCACTGGCCCAGCTAACCAATCACAGCACATTTCATATTTCAGAAGGTGGGCCTTCATTTGATACAGAAACTATTCGAGACTGGGGAGAGAGGTGTTGTAATAATGTAAAATATGTGAAAAAATAATGTGTTTTTCATACAACCTAGTATGAGAGCCTGTTCTAGTACACCCCCAAAACAAAATCAAGACTTTGTAAAAGAGCATAATAGGACCCCTTTAAGAATATGAATTATGAGTAATAAAGTATTAAAGGATTAGTTCACCCAAAAATAAAAATTCTGTAATTAATTACTCACCCTCATGTCGTTCCAAACCCGTAAGACCTTCGTTCATCTTCAGAACACAAATTAAGATATTTTTGATGCATCCCGTGAGCTCTCTGACCCTCCCATAGACAGCAAGTGCCATTACGTGATCAAGGTCCAGAAACGTAGCAAGGAGATCGGTAAAATAATCCATGTGACATCAGGTGTTCAACCGTAATTTTACAAAGCTACGAGAATACTTTTTGTGTGCAAAAAAAAAACAGAACGACTTTATTCAACAATTCGTCTCCACCCTGGCGCCATTTTGGAGCGTATCCACCGAATGTAAACCGCGTATGCTGTTGTGTGTCAGCTACGCCACGCGGATACGTTGTTTTCGTTCAGATCAAAGCGTAAACGACATAAACATAATTTCCGCATGGCGTAGCTGACACAGAACAGCATACGCTGTTTACGTTCAGTGGATACGCTCCAATATGGCGCCAGGGTGAAGACGAATTGCTGAATAAAGTCGTTCTTTTTTTCCTTTCACTAAAAGATATAGTCCCTGATATGCAAACAATAAGAGAATGTAGTGTATGAGTAAATCTGTACATAATTAATAAATGGCTAATTGAATGGAGTGAATTCATATCCAACAAACCATATGAGGTGAATCCAGTAGTAAATGAAAGAAGTAATTGCTGTTTTGAAACTAGATATGACCAGGTTGATTAGATGTCGAATTAGACATTCAAGACTCACCCATTCATATTTATTGAAATGGGAAGAGAAACCAGTTTTTTTCACGCGTGTAAGAATTTTTTGAGTGTAAAACACATTTTAATAGAATGCCCAATATTAAATGATATTAACATTTTACTCCGAAAACAAATAACACATTTTTAAAAAGGCCTCTCCTAAAATAATTTTAGCATTTTTATCACTGATTAAATTGAAAGATTTTATATTATTTTTATTAGTACTATTGTTGTTACTTGTATGTTTTTGAATTGCTTTTTAAGCAAATGTTATATTATTGTAAATTGATATAGTGAAATGATAATGATGAGCTGTTAATGTTGGCATGAATATAGCCATTGTTGCTAATATGTCGTTAAAACACACAAACAAAAATAAATAATGTATGAGTGCTATGCAGTAATATGTTTTGAAATATTGAAATATATAAAACGATCGTTACTACTTGTACATTTAAATCAAAATGTCATGAAACCTTGATTCATGCACTGCTGTTGCAATGTTTTAAGTCTGTGCGATTATTTTAATGTTTTTAAAGCCTCTAATGCTAACCAAGGCTGCATTTGTTTGATTTAAAAATGTAGTAATATTGTGAAATATTACAGTTTAAAATAAATAACTTGTGTTTAAAATAATGATGGCAAAGTGAAATTTTCAGTAGCCATTATTCCAGTCTAAAGTGTCACAAGACCTAGTGCTGGGCGGTATACCGGTTCATACCGAATACCGGTGTTTATTTTTGTTATGATAAGAATTTTTAAAATACCACAATACCGATGTGTATGTCGCTTAACGTTCAGAACGCAACACTGTTTGAAAGGGGTCCCTTTTCACTGTTGCACTGTGGTGAGGGAACAGCTGTATGTGTTACTAAGCGTGAAAGTTCTGGAACTGAAGCTGTAGAACTAATAGAATGTGATGACACAGAAGAACTCATCCACAATATCCACATTGACCGCCACAAATATCCACCGCCCCCTGCCATCAGCTCCCGCGTCTCACACACACGAGCGCGACTTTAGCTGATTTTTTCCATAGAATACTCATACTGACAAACCTATCGACTTTTTTGGATAAACCTTAGCTATGGTTCAGTTGGAAGATTTCTCCAGTGCTGTCCTGGGAACGCGAGGTCTGACTTTCCCGGAGAAGTGTCACCTCTCTCGGCGTCTGTTCTGTGCAGTGAGCGGCAGAGAAGTAGCGCATTCAGTTGGCCGCACTGCAGCCGACTCGTCAATAAATGAGTACAAAACAGCGTTTCCTAGCCCCTATTGCTTACTGATTGTTTGGAATTATAAATATGAGCGTAGGTCATCTGTTAATATCGCATGAACTTTTTTGTTTGTTGTTTTTTTTTAGTTTGTTACTCAGACGCAGGCAGTGCGCTGCATGAGACAAAAAAGTAATATAGCCAAACCAACCGCATAGCCGCTCTTTAGTGTAGATGCATGTTGATTTTATCAGACGATGCCGCGATTATAAATGAGAGTGACTCCTGGTTAACATGTATTAAAAGGGGTAGTGTTTAGTCACTATTTAGTGTGGTATTTTTTTTACAATATTCAGTCATGACAGTAAAATAGGGCATTCTAAGTCAATATACTGCAGTATTTTCTCTCTCAATCAGTAGAAAATATGGTTAACGCCCGGTCATGCATGAAAAAAAAAACACACCGTCATGTACCGTGAAACCGGTATAATTTTAAAAAAAAATACCGTGATATAAATTTTTGGTCATACCGCCCAGCACTAACAAGACCCTTCAGAAATCATTCTAATATGCTGATGTGAGGTTCTATAAACATTTCATATTATCAGTGTCGTGCAGTTGTATCACACTTTCTACAAAAATATTAAGCTGATTTTTTTTCAGGATTCTTTGAATAGAAAGTTCAAAAGAACAACATTTATTTGAGATAGAAATGGAAATGAAGTGTGTATCTCCTTTTGTATTTCTATTTGAAGGTTTATGAGCTATGGATCTGAAATAAGTAATACTTGTCATTACAAAGTGCTATTTGTGCACTTTTCATTCCTCTGTTCTTTTCTAAACTCCTCTTCTGTTTTTTTTCCTCCTCATGTGGCTTCATCTGTAGGACCGCAAACTGCTCGCAGCAGCTCAACAGATGCTTCAAGACAGCAAGACAAAGATAGAGTTCATTCGAATGCAGATTCTCAAAGCCAGCCAGACCAGCGAGATGAACTATGAGAACAATGACAGTATGTGGTGTAGCTGATTTCCTCTCTAATTATATCTGTGATTTGCAATTTAAATGGGCAGGAGTGTGGTAATAAAACATAAATCTGATGTTTGCAGTGACTTCAAGCAAGCCTATAATCAGTCCTCTGGACTTGAGGATAGAAGAGCTCCGACATCACTTCCGGATAGAGTCTGCTGTGGCAGAAGGTGCCAAGAATGTGATGAAACTGCTGGGAACAGGGAAGGTGACGGAGAAGAAAGCTCATTCAGAGGTCAGCTCCATTTCTAAATTACAATGATTTTTATAGTCGTTTCTCATCTTTTTCCTGTGCTTCACATATCTGTATCCATTTAATGCAGTTATTCATTTAACTATGTACTTTTAATAGCCTACATTGCCTCAAGGGCCAAATGTTTACAGCTTTTCTCACTTTACACCATAATCGTGGTATGACACAGAGTGGTTAAATGGTCTAGAGCTATCATGTAATTGTTTTATTCCTGTGTGAGTTATACTCAGTTTTTCCTATCTGTTGGAGGATGAATTAACTTTTATTTTAAAATTTACTTTAAATGACTTTTTTTTGTGTAATACAACACAAAAATTTCACACCTACTGCCTGACAGAAACCAGCTTTTTTTGACAACGCTAGACTCCACATACAGGGAAAAAGATTGGAGCTAGTTCCTGTGCTGCATGATAGCAGTCAATCAGAATACTATATGCTGAAAGAATGCTCTGTGGCTCTGAATCAATACGTTTATTTGAAGTTTTTCCTGTTTCTCACCTGGTAGAGCAAGGTAAAAAAAAAAAATAAAATTCACTTTAGGGCTGCATGACATTGGAGAAAACTGATATTGCAGTGTGTTGTTTTTCTGCAATATTGCGAATAGAAAAAAATAAATAAATAAAATTACCAGATGAAAGCTCTATTTGGAAAGAATTAATCAGACTAGAATTAATAGGATGAACTTGTAGGGAAGTGCAGTCCCATGCAAAATAAAAATAATTTTACGAAAGCTGAAAAACTGCCTTTATGCTGAAGACATTTTAATGGGGTTAAATGGTAGGGTTGAATGGTTTGGAAAAACATAATAAATGCATTTATTGTGATTATTAAAATAAATAAAAATAGAGTATTAAATATAAAATTATTATTTCACAGTAATTATTATTTTAGAGGGGTCATATGATGCTGCTAAAAAGAACATTATTTTGTGTATTTGGTGTAATGAAATGTGTTTATGCGGTTTAAAGTAAAAAAAATACACATTATTTTCCACATACTGTACATTATTGTTTCTCCTCTATGCCCCGCCTTTTTGAAACGCGTCGATTTTTACAAAGCTCATCGGTCTGAAAAAGCGAGGTGTGCTGTGATTGGCCAGCTATCCAATGCGTAGTGATTAGCCGAATACCTCAAGCTTTGAGACGGAAATGTTACGCCCCTCACATACTGTTGATGCCGTGTCCTGGCCGGAGCGACAAGACAAAAACATTAAAACCCATTACAAACGAGGCATTTGTTGCGTCCAGTGGGTACATAATTACTGATTATAATGACTTATACTGTCTTTTAATGCATTGCATTGCATCGCGCCACGTAAACATAAAACCCTGTCTGTATTTGTGATCAGCGAAATGACAATAAACAAGTGCTACTCTACACTGCCCAAAACTCGCGTTTAAATCATCAGTGGCAAATCCTTTAAATGAAAACGTACTTACGTGAGTCAGAACTGCCGGCATTTTAGTCTAACGTTACGCTCCCAGGATCAGTAAACAGTCCTCCATAAAATGTGCTGCACACATCTGGATATTTGGGTTAAACTGTTCTGGAACAGTGTTGTAAATACCACTGATTTGTAGTCGTGTCCTCTTTTGGAAGACCAAACAAAGTAGTTTCACTTTCACAACGAAAAACACAGCGGCCTAGCATGAGGGGAAGCCCCAGCTTAGCGTGAGCTGAGGCCGGGCTTGAGTGAGCTGAGGTGGCGGGGTCGAGAACGACGCGCCCGGCGGATCCGACGAATGAGTTGAGATGTGTTGATGCCATGAAATTTAAAATCAACTTATTTTTCCCTTAAAATGATACATTTTCTCAGTTTAAACATTTGATATGTCATCTATGTTGTATTCTGAATAAAATATTGAAATTTGAAACTTCCACATCATTGCATTCTGTTTTTATTCACAATTTGTACAGTGTCCCAACTTTTTTGGAATCGGGTTTGTAGTTTCGCTTTCACAACGAAGCACACAGCGTCTTCACGACATGGCTGCAGCGTCAACAAAACTACAGTGAGACTAAAAGTTACGCCTTCTTTCTTTGCGTGAACATTTGGGCGGCGTTATGCAAATCTTCCCACATAGGGAGGTAGATATGTGGGGGCATGTTAGAACGAGCCGTTTTAGATAGGCATGGTTAACTCTTAACTTTTATAAAGAATATCTCTTTGGATTTGAGACTTTAGTCTTTGCAACTTTACAGATCTTCTTTATGCACCAAGAGCTTGTAACACTCCAAAGAGAAAGGAAAAATTTAAATCGCATCATATGATCCCTTTAAACTTTTAAAATTATAATTTTATAATAATAACAATAAAAACATAATCTACAACAGTTTCCATTTGTCACAGAGAGATTTAAATCCTTATTCTCTGAGGCAGCACTGTCACATTCAAAATGTGAGTATTTATGTCTGTATGCATTTGAAAGAATTGTCTTACTTTCTTGCAGGCACAAGCACGCTTGAATGAGTCCAGTCAGAAGCTCGACCTGCTGAAGTTCTCTCTGGAGCAGAGACTCAGTGAGCTGCCCAAAAATCACCCGAAGAGCAATCTGATAATGGAGGAGTTAGCAATGGTGTCCTCCCCGCCTCTCAGTCACCGCCAAAGCATCATGTCCACCAGCAACAAGTACAGCACTGTGGCCAAACCAGCTGCTCTGACCGGTAACATAACAGAATTCATAGTCACATGGTATTTACTGTTCACATATTAGATTGGTTTTAGAAATTAGACCGCTTGTAATGGGGTTAAAACCTATTCACACTGGGAGAAAAGTGCAGAAGTGAATCACAAGACAATCCCATTTTTCATCAAATATTTGTCAGAAAACCAAATTTACTCCAGTCCAACAGGTGGCACAATGCATATTTTAGATTGTCTGCCATTTATAAAATGCAGAGGTCCATCTTCAAATCCAAAATTGAGATATTTTAATGAAACCTGTGAAATTTCTGTCTCTCCATTGAAAGCCATTCCACCAAAAAATATGATGCTTCGGAAATGTCAAAAAGAGCTCATAAAAGTGATTAATTTAGTGATTAATTTAGTTTAGGCTTTTATTCAAATAAAACATTGATCATTGCATATCAGATATGGTGAATGGAAGCTCAAAAGTGCTTGCTTGTGGCTAGAGTAAAAGTGGCGTTTGTTGTCAATTGTCAAGCAAGTATGTTTAAAATGCCGTTGACCATGTTTGATGTGCTCTATGCATGTGTGTTGATCAGTGTTTATGTGAATTAAAGCCTAAATTAAATCTGTTTATCATATAAAGGCTTGGATTAAAACCGCTAATCGTATGGTTTACTTTTATTATCTCTTTATGAACTTCTGAAGCATCAGTTTGGTAAACCTAATAGAAAATAAGAGAAAGCCATTGGATTCCACTATAAGCAGGATTCATCTTCATTTAGCATTCCGTACTAGTTGGTGAGATATCACCCCCAATTGTACTGGAGTATGTAGGAGCAATTCCAGAAATCCTTATGCTTACATTTTATTGGTAGATATGTTTTGGAACTGGTAGAAGAAAAAAATAACATACATGGGGAAGAAAACTACTTCCAGTCTTCAGACAAATTTAGTCTCTGTTAACAGATCCATGGGAATTCATTGTTTCAATTTATAGTCTTGTTCACTGCAAATATTCTCTCCCAGTGTGAACAGGCTCTTTAGTCCTTTATCACAACACATGGTGCTGTACATATAGCCCAGTTTGAGAAGGGTAACAGCTGTCTGGGTATAGGCATGTAGGAACTACATTCGACTTTTCACACTGTGTCAACACACTTGGCCCCAGCGGTCCCCTCCCCCACCCTTGGCTTTATCACACACAACTTTGACCTTCACTCTGAAGGAGAATGAGAGAGCTTACATTACCATTATAGACTTGTAGTGCTTTCCATATAAGGCTCTATAACCACTGCGTGTGTCTTGAAATAGACATTTGCAATTGTTTGCACACTTATTATCTTGTGTTAATCAGAAGAGATGTGTTTGGTGATTTACATCTCGGATCACGCAGCGTTTTGGCTCTGAGTTGGCTTTGTTGTAAATCCACAGGCACATTAGATGTGAGGCTCATGGGCTGTCAGGACCTCCTGGAGAACGTCCCAGGTCGCTCTAAGACAGCATCTGTTCCTCTGCCCGGCTGGAGCCCCAGTGAGGCACGATCCTCATTTATGAGCCGAGGAAACAAGAACAAATCTGGCAGCAGCCGAACGCTCTCCAAGTCTGATGATCTGTCCAGTTGAGTGGCTTTATATTTGTTTTAAATGCTTGTTAAAAATCCAAGTTAATATCAGAATCTTGCATGGCCATTGGGCTGAAACAGAACAAATCGAGTAACCACTGTAAATTTAAACTAAATCCAGACTCATTAAACTACATTTATCATTCACATTTAAGTGAAACGTGGCGATTTGACATCTTATTTCATCTTCACTCATTGTCTCTGCCGGTAAATTGAAAATAACACTTGTTCTGACTTGAAGTCTAAGTGAATACACTACCGTTGAAAAGTTTGGGGTCATTTTTTTTTTTTTTTTTTTGAGATATTACATTTTTAATTCAGCAAGGACACATTAAATTGATCAAAAGTGACCATAAAGACATTTATAATGTTATAAAAGATCTCTATTTCAAATAAATGCTTTTATTTTGAGATTTATATTTTTCAAAGAATCCTAAAAAAAAAATTTTAAATCACAGCTTTCACAAAAATATAAAGCTGCACAACTTTTTTCAGCTATGATAATACAAAAAGAGCTCATAAAAGTGATTAATTTAGTGATTAATTTAGTTTAGGCTTTTATTCAAATAAAACATTGATCATTGCATATCAGATATGGTGAATGGAAGCTCAAAAGTGCTTGCTTGTGGCTAGAGTAAAAGTGGCGTTTGTTGTCAATTGTCAAGCAAGTATGTTTAAAATGCCGTTGACCATGTTTGATGTGCTCTATGCATGTGTGTTGATCAGTGTTTATGTGAATTAAAGCCTAAATTAAATCTGTTTATCATATAAAGGCTTGGATTAAAACCGCTAATCGTATGGTTTACTTTTATTATCTCTTTATGAACTTCTGAAGCATCAGTTTGGTAAACCTAATAGAAAATAAGAGAAAGCCATTGGATTCCACTATAAGCAGGATTCATCTTCATTTAGCATTCCGTACTAGTTGGTGAGATATCACCCCCAATTGTACTGGAGTATGTAGGAGCAATTCCAGAAATCCTTATGCTTACATTTTATTGGTAGATATGTTTTGGAACTGGTAGAAGAAAAAAATAACATACATGGGGAAGAAAACTACTTCCAGTCTTCAGACAAATTTAGTCTCTGTTAACAGATCCATGGGAATTCATTGTTTCAATTTATAGTCTTGTTCACTGCAAATATTCTCTCCCAGTGTGAACAGGCTCTTTAGTCCTTTATCACAACACATGGTGCTGTACATATAGCCCAGTTTGAGAAGGGTAACAGCTGTCTGGGTATAGGCATGTAGGAACTACATTCGACTTTTCACACTGTGTCAACACACTTGGCCCCAGCGGTCCCCTCCCCCACCCTTGGCTTTATCACACACAACTTTGACCTTCACTCTGAAGGAGAATGAGAGAGCTTACATTACCATTATAGACTTGTAGTGCTTTCCATATAAGGCTCTATAACCACTGCGTGTGTCTTGAAATAGACATTTGCAATTGTTTGCACACTTATTATCTTGTGTTAATCAGAAGAGATGTGTTTGGTGATTTACATCTCGGATCACGCAGCGTTTTGGCTCTGAGTTGGCTTTGTTGTAAATCCACAGGCACATTAGATGTGAGGCTCATGGGCTGTCAGGACCTCCTGGAGAACGTCCCAGGTCGCTCTAAGACAGCATCTGTTCCTCTGCCCGGCTGGAGCCCCAGTGAGGCACGATCCTCATTTATGAGCCGAGGAAACAAGAACAAATCTGGCAGCAGCCGAACGCTCTCCAAGTCTGATGATCTGTCCAGTTGAGTGGCTTTATATTTGTTTTAAATGCTTGTTAAAAATCCAAGTTAATATCAGAATCTTGCATGGCCATTGGGCTGAAACAGAACAAATCGAGTAACCACTGTAAATTTAAACTAAATCCAGACTCATTAAACTACATTTATCATTCACATTTAAGTGAAACGTGGCGATTTGACATCTTATTTCATCTTCACTCATTGTCTCTGCCGGTAAATTGAAAATAACACTTGTTCTGACTTGAAGTCTAAGTGAATACACTACCGTTGAAAAGTTTGGGGTCATTTTTTTTTTTTTGAGATATTACATTTTTAATTCAGCAAGGACACATTAAATTGATCAAAAGTGACCATAAAGACATTTATAATGTTATAAAAGATCTCGATTTCAAATAAATGCTTTTATTTTGAGATTTATATTTTTCAAAGAATCCTAAAAAAATTTTTAAATCACAGCTTTCACAAAAATATAAAGCTGCACAACTTTTTTCAGCTATGATAATATAAATAGAAATGTTTCTTGAGTACCAAATCAGCATATTGAAATAATTTCTAAAGGATCACATGACACTGAAGATTGGATAATGGCTTCTGAAAATTCAGCTTTGCCATTACAAGGATACGTTACATTTTAAAATAGACAGTAACTTTTTAAATTGTAATTGAAAAATTCAGAATGCTACTGTTTTTGTATTTTTGATCAAACAAATGCAGCCTTGATGAGCATGAGAGAGAGAGAAAAAAAATACTTTTTTTTTTTTTTTTACCCCAAACTGTTGGACAACTTTTAAATTCTTTGTCTATGTATTTTTGTTATTTTGATTGTATGTAGACAGACATGTTTGGGGAGTATTTTTATTTTTATCAGCATTTGTTTTTAATAAATCACATTTCATTTTAATTAAATACACATCCCTAATGAACTTATATTCATGTTTTTGTTCTAAAGTAATAGTTAAAGAGTTGTTTTGCACTGTTATGACAGATGAAATCAGTGCCGTTCTGAAGCTGGACAACACAGTTGTGGGACAGACCCATTGGAAGCCAGTTAGCAACCAATCTTGGGATCATAAGTTCACACTTGAACTTGACCGGGTAATGCAAGAGAAACTGCATAAAACACACTTGTCAAACCACAGTCTTATCCCATAATCCTCTTGACACGAGTAGATGGGCACACATATGCACACATGCTCTCCATTCCAGCCTCTCTCAATTAACTTTGGAAATGTTAATCCCAGATTTGACCCAGTTCTTATGGAAACTCAGACAAGGCGGATCAAAAGTCATTATTCGTAATCTCTTCACTCTCACATATATAATGATGGCTATGTGTTTGAGTCACACTCTTTCACAAGCAAACGTCAGTTTAATTTTAACGTTTATATGTTTACAATCAGCATTAGTTCATTTTTTTCCCAACTTGTCCTTTATAATGTATCTCCATTCCTCCACATTAAGAAATGGGCGCTTTCAGGCGCTTTTTATTTTTCTGTTGATGGAATTGCTCAGGTTTCTATTTGACATCTCCCAAAGGAGCAAGGGTTAAATAAGAGTGAATTAAATGACTCCTTCAGTTACTTCATTAGTGATTCCTGTAAACCTGATATAGAGGCTTACTTGCTATGTTATTTTATAAATTTTTGAGGGTCGATTATTATTTACACACATGTCTGTGGGTTTGGACTTGCTTTTGGCTGTGTGATAAGCAAACGTCAGTTTAATTTTAACGTTTATATGTTTACAATCAGCATTAGTTCCTTTTTTTCCCAACTTGTCCTTTATAATGTATCTCCATTCCTCCACATTAAGAAATGGGCTGATTTTGTATTTGCTTTCAGACGCTTTTTATTTTTCTGTTGATGGAATTGCTCAGGTTTCTATTTGACATCTCCCAAAGGAGCAAGGGTTAAATAAGAGTGAATTAAATGACTCCTTCAGTTACTTCATTAGTGATTTCTGTAAACCTGATATAGAGGCTTACTTGCTATGTTATTTTATAAATTTTTGAGGGTCGATTATTATTACACACATGTCTGTGGGTTTGGACTTGCTTTTGGCTGTGTGACGGCATAACCGTTTAATCTCATGGCAGGCAACGTGAGAGCTCTAAGCCGCAGTTGTGTAATGGCAGACAGACTCTGAAAAGACCTGTAAAAGGCCTGTAAATGTCAAACCGTTGGCTGTGAACTGTAGTAAATCTCATAAGTGGTAACTTTTGGGCGTTTTTTACTTGATCAATAAATTTAAAAAAGAAAAGCACTTGACCAGTACTCTCTCAAATACCTAATTTTTAAAAGTCAATATTTTTTTTGTCAATTTTAATTATTAAAAAAAATTTTCAGCTAATATGCTGATAATTGAATAGCTTAATTTTATTTTTATTTTAACTGACACTTCTTGTCTTCCATATACATTGGAAGATGGTGGTGGTTGAGGAGAGATCACCCCCCCACCCCCCACCCCCAATGATTGTAAAGTGCTTTGGGTGTACGGCAATACACAATAAAGTGCTATATAAATGCCTCATTCATTCGTTCAACTACCTATAGCTTTCTAGCAATCACATAGTAAACCCTGGCAACCACTCAATACAACATCATAATGAAACTTAACAGAATATTTCATTTTTAAAATGTTTATGAAAGTAGTCAATTATGCTCACCAAGGCTGTATATATACACTTCAAGGTAGTGTGTGTGTATACTTAATATAAGATATTGAATGTTTTTTTTGGTTGACCTGTAGTCTCGTGAGCTGGAGATAGCTGTGTACTGGAGAGACTGGCGCTCGCTGTGTGCTGTTAAGTTTTTACGGCTGGAAGACTTCCTAGACAACCAGCGTCATGGTATGTGCCTTTACCTGGAACCACAAGGAACACTGTTTGCTGAGGTACTTTCATTTTTTCATTACACATAGACGTGCAGTATACAAATTTGATGGCCTTGTAGAGGACATTTATATTGATATTCTCTCTACCTCTTTGGATACAGGTTACGTTTTTTAACCCAGTTATTGAGAGGCGACCTAAACTACAAAGGCAAAAGAAAATCTTCTCCAAACAGCAAGGTAAGGTTATGAAGTGGCAAATATGCCTCAATGTTGAGAAGGGTTGACATGTTCACTTAAACAGACTAGATTAAGCAGCCTACTTTTGACACAGTGCTGTGGTTCAATATTCCACTGCTGTGGGGCCAGTGTTTACACAGTGAAGTCAGAATGAACTTTGACCTTCTTGTTTGAACTCGTTTGAACCATTTATAGACAAAGAAGGTGAATTGCTGGTTTAGAAACTTGAGCTTTGTTTCAAAATTGTGCCAAAGTCTCACAAATAGTGCTCTGCAAGGGAGACTCAAGTCAAAGTTTCCGTTAGCATTTTGCTAAGCTAACAGCGCAATGCTGTTATAAGGCCATCTCGGGCCCTGTTAAATCAACACGAATCTGGCATGTAAATTTGGTTTTCACTATTGATTTGTCTGTTCAGACCAATGCATAAAAACTACAGATGGGGATGAATGAACATTACATTCAGTAAATTCAGTTTCTGATAGAAAGTGGCACTTATAGAAATGTAGTAGTACCCAGTTACTCGATACAAAAAGCACTTGCGGAACTTCCTGTTTACATGTTTTCAAACAGCAGTTCATATTTTACTGTTTGCTGTGGTGTTTATCAAAGAACAATACAAGAGTGCAGAGACGAGAGAGACTATCATTCAAATGTAAATGTTTATCTCACTGCGTTTTCACACAAAATATTTGTCTTGATGTGAACAAATATTTAACCATCCTGGATTTGCTTTCTTATTGAGCTTGACACCGAGCATACTGGGACTGCATTGTACATGAAGGATAAATGCTATGTTGTTTCAGAATTTTTTCCTAAAATAAGGTATCTTAGACCTTTTAGAACATCCGGAGTGCATGTCTACAGTGCATTTAAATGAGTGTCTACATAAATAGAACACTGGGTTTTGGAATGAATATTATCTGCTGTTCAGAAGTTTGCTTCTGCTTTCTCCATCTCATACATAAACCTTGTTTCTCTCAGGTAAAACGTTCCTGCGTGCCCCTCAGATGAACATTAACATCGCCACCTGGGGCAGATTGGTGAGAAGAGCCATTCCGTCAATCAATACCTCATTCAGTCCTCAGGGGGTTGATCTAGGCTCAGCATTGAGCCCAGAAACAGTAGCCATCGGCCACCCAGACGCCCACTCCCTACCCAGGTACATATGTGTTCAAATGCATTCCAGCTCATCCAGACAGACTCATTTCCTAAAAGAGCATCTGGTAGCGGAAAGGCCTCAAATTAGTCTGCAGTCTTTGATAAACAATGACAAATCTGTCTGAAAACATAATTGGTGCTCTATATTTAGATAATGAGATGACTTAACATTCCTGCTCTGTATCCTAGTGTATGCATTCCATAATGTAGCTATTCTGTAAATCTCCAAACCCCCAAACAAAGCTGCTGGACTGTTTAAAATGGAAATTTTATGATTTGTCTTCGCTCCCTCAGCGACCCCACTGTGACCAAATTAGATTTTGACAAACCAGCCACCCCTCCCTCAAAACGGCACTCCATCGAAGTGGAGATAGAGGAAACATCACCGGATAAGATCCCAGATGGAAAAGAGGTGCAGGTACAGGAGCAGTTGTTTTAAAGGAATAGTTTAGCAATATCATCATTCACTCATGTTGATCCAGACCCATCTGACTTATTGTTTTCTGTTGGAACGTAAAAGGAAAAGTTTAGCAGAATGTTGATACCATTCTTTTCCATACAATGAAAGAGGATGGGATGAAAAGTAATTTAAATTGTTATTCACTGATTATCTTGGCAGGAGTTCATTTAAATACACGTGAAGGTGAATGAGATTTGGCAATTTCCACTCATCTTCACATATAATTAAATATGGCATGACGAGTTGTTTCAAATGAAGTTTGCTGCCAAATGTTGTTGGTTCTGTCTTTTAACAGACAATGTGTGAATGTGATGTGCTCAGTTTGAACATGCGTATATTCCAGTGGTTCTCAACCAGCCTTACCAAACGTCCAAAGATGATTTGAAATTATTTAAAATAAGACAAAACAAGCTTTAAAGAGTTTGTTCACCCAAAAATGAAAATTAGGCTGTGTTTTACTCACCCCCGAGGCATCCTAGGTGTATATGACTTTCTTCTTTCAGACGAATCCAGTCGGAGTTATATTAAAAATTGTCCTGGCTATTCCAAGCTCTATCATTGCAGTCAGCGGGTGTTGCAGTGCTTCAGTGCCCATCCATAAAACAAAGTGTCTCACACAGCTCCGGGGGGTGACCAAAGGCCTCCTGTAGCAAATCGATGTGTTTTTGTAAGAAAAATAACCCTATTTAAAACGTAATAATCAATTTAATGCTTGCGCTCACTGTTGTACACGGAAGCAGCTCCGGGCGGATAATGTAAGATGTGGGCGTTGCGCATGCGCAGCTCAGAAGTGACGCACGCGGAAGCGCAGCAGAGAGAACAAAACAATGGTCACTTATTAGAAGTACAAAATGAGGATTTGTAAAGAAGAATGTCGGAGGATTTTGATATAAGCCAAGAGGAGACTGGGTTTTCTTTGCTAAAGTAAGGAAACTTTGCTTCCTTTGCTCCTGTTAACAAACGTTAACACTCACGAGACTCACCGGCACATGCATAACGCTGAACTCATACGTTATCAGCCCGGAGCTGCTTCCATGTACAACTGTTGGCGCAAGCTAGATTAACGTGATTATTACATTTTGAATATGGATATTTTCTTACAAAAACGCATCGATTCGCTACAGGAGGCCTTTGTTCACCCCCCGGAACCGTGTGAGACTTTTTTTTTATGGATGGCCGCTTTTTATTTCACTTCTTTTGGACTGAAGCACTGCAACACCCACTGACTGCAATGATAGAGCTTGGAATAGCCAGGACAATTTTTAATATAACTCCGACGGGATTCGTCTGAAAGTAGAAAGTCATATACACCTAGGATGCCTCGGGGGTGAGTAAAGCACAGCCTAATAAATTTTTGGGTGAACTATCCCTTTAAAAAAGCAATTAAATTGATTAAAATCCAGATATTTAACATTTTAATGTACCAAGAACTGTGATTTCTGCTGTAATGTGTGATTACTTGCCCTGAAGAAGTCACAGAAATGATTAAAATCTTAAAACACCATGGGCATCTTAAAACAAATATTTTTTTTATAGTTATGCTAAGCTCTAACGCAGTGGTTCCCAAACCTGTCCTGGAGGCCCCCTGCCCTGCACCTTTTGTATGTCTCCCTTATCTAACACACCTGATTACACTCATCAGCTCATTAGTAGAGACTGCAATAACTAAATTGGGTGTGTCTGATTGGGGAGACATACAAAATATGCAGGGCAGGGGGTCCTCCAGGACAGGTTTGGGAACCACTGCTCTAACGTATGTTATTGAGTAGAACTGGTGAGTAAACATTTTTTTAATCCTTATCCTTTAAAAAAAGAAAATCTATATCCAGTATCACTAATGACAGGAAAAGTCATGTAAATTGATTGGTTAAAAATAATTGGATGCCTGAAGATCCTGTAGCTCTTAAAACTTCTGGAATCCTGAAATGTGATTTATAAATGTTTTAGTTACTTATTTAAGTCTATGGACACTTCTAGTACCTGTAATTAAAGAAAGCTTAAGAACCACTGGCATATTCAATAATATAACTGGATGAATAAGATTGCAGCGCTATAGCAAAGTTGCCCTGGTCACCATTCGCTTTGATTGTTTAGAAAAGAACAGCTTGAACATCCTGCCTTACATGTCCTTCTGTGTTTGATGGGGAAAAAGTTAGTCATATGGGTTTGGAATATAATGATGACAAGTAAACAATGACACAATCTTCATTTTTTTTGTCTGAACTGTCCCTTTAAGGCAAGTATTATTTATAAGGGGAGCTCTCTTGAAGTACTTCAGAATGACTCTTAAATGCCTCTCGCCTACAGGATGCCCTAGCGACCTTTGACTTCCTGAACAAAACAGTAGCTAAACCTGATTATGACAGTCTGGTTGAAAATGAGCAGCCTGACCTGGAACTGACTGCAGTTCTACGAAAAACTGAAATAAGGTAGTTTGTTCCCCTTTTTTGGATGACTGACATCATGGTGCTGATAAACAAAGCACGCTGCGTGGATTGAGCGCGTGGCGGCGCAGATGCGCGAGCTTGTCGAGTGAGTATATCTTTCTCTCAGACATCACTGGAAAGTTTGAAGTTCAGTCGGATATGTCAAAAACAAGTAAGTAAACAATGCACAAGTTACTTAACGAGAGAAAGAGAGAGAGCGCTCACAATTCTGTAGTGTGATCTTTGATGTTCACACACTTAGCACACGCATCATTTTGATTCAAACGAAATCGTAAAAATAAAACCATTTATAGGGGCATTCACTATAAACATAATTTATTTTTAACCTTAGGCATACACGACTTTCTGGCGAAAGTGAATCTAGCAGCCTGTGTGAAATGCGCTAGGCTGTACTATTCTGCATCAGTACAAATACCTGCACGCGTTGCGTGTGTTTTGCTTGCTTGAGTGTTTCTGCATTATATGAGTGGCTTTGGAATATAAATCACAGCACGTTTCAGATGAAAAAACGCAACTTCTATTTCTGAAAATATCACAGTTAGGAGATTTATAACGAGTGGTTCCCTGCATTATTACAGCAAAGCGCGTGATTACAGTACTAAGCTGCTGCAATGGTGCAGCTCTAATGCTATTAAATTAAAGATGATGTACCATAGAGCAAAACAATGAACAGTGAAAGTAACAAAAACTTGTCAAATACATTTTAATGGGCTAATTAAGTGTGAAAATAACCGAAGGATATACAGTGAAACCAAA